TAGCAGTTTGGAGGGCATCGCTAGCAGGTTGGAGGCCATCGCTATTAGGTTCCTTTTTTGTATTAGGTGAGGGGCCACGCCTCCCAATGCTTATGATGCGGAATGTCCACTCTATGAGACACCGGAATGAGGAAAACGTCTCTGTGTCATCGATCTGGCCACAGCGAAACCTTCTGATGCTGGCTTTTGATAGCTTTGTGCTAGTAGTCTTTGTTCCAAGGGGAGGAGGAAACTGCGGACAGAATCCAAGGTGCACAGGGCTGGGCCCTTGAAAGTTCAGCTTCGGCGCTTCTTCCGCCATGTCCCACAAGCACAGGTTGTCGCCCTTCTTCCCATAGCCCAGGAGAACGCCCGGACCACCCACAAAGGCGTCCATACCTGAGAGCACTGTGCACATGGCCTCACTTGGCCGTTCCCCTCTTCGGCGTCAAGGGGCGAACGAGCCGAACTGGCTCACCGTCCTGGCCCTCTGGAAGAGTGTTTTCCTCTACCAACCGGTGGTTTTCAGGGTCCATGTTAGTCTTCCAGGGTGTAAATTGAAACCCGAAGATGTTGTGTTGACAAAAGCCTGTGCTGATGTCGAACAAAGTGGACCAGTTTTTTCGGGCACGTTTGGGGTGGAGTTTTGAGGTGGATGGGAGTCTGAAACATTTGGTCGAAGGATGAGTTGGCACTAAGCTTGACGCATGATGCTACTGCCCTGAACCGGGCTGTGGGGACTGTCCGCAAGTCGTACTGAAGAAAAACCCGAAGATGCCCAGAAACGATTCGGGTGAACCTTCACCTCCACACGGCCTCACCCTGTGCTGGCCGATCTCCATACGACCGCCAAGCGGATTGGCCCCCCTTCAGGCACCGAGTCCCTCGTCCGAAGACTGGTGACCTGCCACCGCGTCTTGGGAGGTGCTTTCCGCTGGGCGGAACGCCCTGGGAGCTGCCCAAAGCCGGCCAAAGAACGGAACATCTGATTGATTGGTGGCAGTATCTTGGACGGTGATGATTCATCTTCACGAAGCGTCAAAGAACTGGGGCCTAGATATACACACATGGCCAACATCTCCTGTTGTTGCCCACCATTCCCTCCGCTAGATCGAGGCACAGTAGACCGAGGGCCCCACATGACACCGCTTCGTGGGGTCTTCGCTGCCGTTGACCTCGTAGAGAATGAGATGCTCGCCGGTGGCTGCCAGGTAGGTGTCATCAGCCACCCAACCTCGGTGCCGGTGACATGGGCCTGACAGGTTCTTAGGGCCATAAATCAAAGGCAACTCATAGGGCCATAGGCCTCTAAGCATAGGTAGAGAGGCTAGGGGGGGAAAGACACTTCATGGAGGGCTTCTTGGGCTTTACGCTTCTTTGGTTTAAACGGTGCTGTTATGTATATCCATTTCTTGGCCATATCTCACATTAACTAGTCTACCATGTGAAAACCACCCTGCTGCTCTAAGGAATGGTTCGCTAGTTCGTGTCGCCCTAGTGCTGCCTCAGTGCCAGCAGGTACGGCCACAAGAATTCGCAAGACTTCAAACAGAACCATGGATCATCATGCAACTGGCACCCTTCAGAAAACCCTTGTATGAACTATAAACTGGATTCCGGGTTGCTTACCCTACAGGAAGGACGTGACCCACACAAAGTGCTCTCACTTCCCGCCTCTCTCTCCTTGTCTGTTTGTCTGTTTGCCTCTGCCTGCAAATGCCCAAATGCACGGAACTCCGATTGACTCACATGGAAAATGGCCCTTCAATCCACATCAATCCCTTCAAACTTCCTCCATGGCACGAATCGCCTCCACTGATGCATTCAGCTGCCGGGTATATCTCATCGTCGGCTGCAAAGGCCGCGGGATGGGGAAATGTTTCGAGAAGGCGGGGTCTTGGTCGACGCTACTTCCTCAGCACTCAGCAGCACGCAGTCGGCGTGTTTATGGGAGCAGCACTCGGCTCGGGGCGCCGATGGTTTTGGGAGATTGTGAGATCAACTTAGTCCAAGTCTATGCCTTTCTTCCTGAGGTCCATGGAGAAGGCAAAAAAAGTCAGGTAGTTCGTTGGCTGAGATCCGGGTCTTCCACAACATCACCTCCAGAAAAACCCGGAAGCTAAGCTTCGGGCAGTTTCTGCTTGGATGTCACCCATCCGAACCCGCCATGAACGGACGCTCCCACCGCGCCGAAACGGCCGGTCCGGACGGTCCGGTCGCTGCGGGCGCCGGCCGCGTGAACCGGCTGAGCTGCGATAGTCCAAGTAGGGCGCCGCCGCAGGGGACAGAACCGTCTTGACCTTTTCCTGGAGGCGGAGGCACCCTTTTCCAAGGGTCTATAGTTTGATCATATCTGAGTCGAAAGTATCGAAGATCACTGGTAAAAAGGGGGAACAGAAACTGATGCCTGATGCCGCTCGCTACATTGCCATGGCCCATCAACTGGCCCATCGCCATGGCAGGCAATTGTTGGTTCGCATCAGGGAGAAGACTCCCTCACTTCTTGGATGCGCAGTACCTTCCGCAGACTATTGGGATTGGTGGGTGTTCGTCGAGTCCTTTTAGACTATCGTCATTGGACTGAGATGCCATCGGTTGGAAGATCACAGTAGCAAAGCTGGGAAGTGTAAACATCTCACACATCCCCAAGCAGAGTCATTGGCCGAGCAGAGTCGTTGGATGAGTTGGAACAAGGAGACCTCCGAACGCATCCGAATCATCTGCTGCCATTGAAGGAATTTAAGGACCAAGAACCCCGTTGGATTACACCTGCCGATCTTTCTGAGAAAGCCGATGTCAGTCCAGTGACTTGCAAGATCTTTGATCATCAGTGGCTCACCATGTTCCCGAGGTGGATTGAACTCATGGAACCTCCCATGGATGAAAACGCCAGCAAATCCCCCCAAGACGAAAATCCGGCCCTCCGAAATGCGGATCATCCCCAATTCCCCTGAAAGTCCGGCCCATCGTTGATTTCAGGGCTTTTGCCGAAGAACCGCGCTTTTGAACTGAGGCTTTCGGACCACCACATCAGGCCAACCTTTCTGTTGATGGTCGAGTAGAAGGGTAAACGATCTCGTCCCGTGAGTTCCCTCGAAAACTGCAGCAGTCAGGCCGCTGCGGACCAAACCCGACGTCCATCGCCGTTTCCTCCTCGCTCCCAAAACATGCTCATCTCCAGGGGGCGGGATCGCTCACCATGGTCATGAGCTGGTTGAACTGGTCGAAGTTGATCGATCCAACGTTCTTCTTATCCACCAGCTTAAAGACCTGCCGAACTTGACGTTCTCCTGATCCACCGGCCCCGTCTACATCGGAGTTGGACATCGGAGCGCAGACTGCAAGGGGGGGGTCCGTCACACAGAGAAGAACAGCGAAACAGTGGAGTGATGAGATCGATTCGATGGGAAAACCCATGAACTTCTGACTCATTGAAAAGGCGGGATGACCATTGGCATACGTAGGTGATGGTTGCCAGGGCCCCTACAAAACAGCCTCAAGCTTGGTCAAGCCTTTGTCAGTGGACAGTCCCAATCGTCACAGCCTGTGGGCCCCCAAACCAAATCCCTCCCCCCAAAAGCGATCAGTTCCGCGAAACCTTGCGAAACCACGACCCGTCCTCCGATTTCCACCGCTTGGTTTTTGCCCTTCACCCCATGGCGCCCGGCCGGCTCGCCCTTCACCCCATGGCGGCGACCCCGACTCCCAACCGAAGCGCCTTCTTCAAGGAGTTCTTGCTGCATCGGATGGCCAGCTCCCGGGCCGCGGGCTCCAAGTGATCCATGGAGACGCCGCGACTGTCGCCGATCCGCTGGAAGACATGCTTCCTTCGCGGAACGCGCCGGACCGGTCGGATCGGTCAAGGACGCGAACGGGGCGCGAACGGGGCCATACTATTAGGAACCAGAAGCTACGTTCGGGGCTCCTGGCATCGCTACCAATAGTAACCAAGGACATTACTACGAACATTCTTGCCATTAGTAACAAGAAGCTACTAATAACAAGGACGGCCGTGCCACTGGGCGCCACAGGAGTCTTTTGCCCTTGGAGATTTCAGGTGGGCGAGGCCGGGCCATGGCCTTCGCGCTCGTCGTTTCTGCGTGCATTGACATGCAAATTTGCTTCCAAAACTGCAAGGCACACGCGGTAGCCACAGGTTCGAAAACAGCGAGTTCCTGAAACTGATGGTGCATTATGTTGTATGCTTGTGCAAGGAAAACATGCTCATGGACCACGAATCGCTACCTCCCTAGTCGGGGAGTCCAACCCTTACCCGGCCAGAAAACCCCATCCTTCGAACGAACGCAGTTCGAACCGGTCCAATCACCACCCTGCCGGCGCCGAGGTCTGCCAAGGATCAACTCCTCCAGGTCCAATGAGGAAGCCTTCGACCCCCCCTCCGCCATGGGCGAAACGCACACCGCTCTGCCGCTCGCGTTGGCCGCAAACGGCCGACGGACGGGTCACCGTGGCGGTGGAGCGGCGTGGTTGTCAAGTCCAGGCGGCCGGTGAATGGCTAGTTCATGACATCTAAGTAGTATGAATAAGTCATCCAATGATTCATGTGAAGGTCTTGCTGCCATGGGTGTTTCACAAAGGGCTCGCAGCCCAAGCTCGCTAGACTGGTGGGCTGTGACCCGAGTCACCGATTTCCCTGCAAACCCTAGACCCTAAACCTTGTGCCCCAACAGAAGCACCCCCAAAGTAAAGCGACCAAGCGACCTGGTAAGGAACATCAGGAATGTACAAATGCACATGCGCAATGGATCTTTACCTGATGAAAGCCCGTTGCCCTGATCAATCCAAGGCTTCTTCTTTGCCAAAGAGCGTTCCTCACTCTCCACAACCAAGTTTTGAATATTGTGACAGCTTCTACTGACTGAGACGGCCAATTTGGTGGTACATTTGCTTTTTAGCAGGTGATGCTATTCTCCATGGCGGTGATGATGGGACGACCCTCAACGATAGCTCTGTCTGATTCTGTCTGCTTACCCCGTGGGACATCATCTGAGGTCACCAACCTAAGGTGAGCCGCTCTGCAGGCAAACCGAGCTTGGCCCATGCCTTGGCGCGAGCGCTGCGTTCGAAGGTGTTTTCCAATCAAAACTTGAGTCCGGCGGGTTTCAAAGGCATGCATGCTCAGCCGTAGATCACAACAACGCTCACCACTTTCTCTGGCCGGTCCCTGGGCCCACAAGTCGTCCCCGCCCACGACAGCTCTGCAGAACAGGTCCTGCTCTGCAATTCACCCCTAGACTCCTCCTCTCCAATTCGTCCACTTCCAGTGTCCCAAACCCCCCAAAAAGGACACCAGTTCCTCGCCTCACCCGCCCCGCACCCTCGCACACCCGGACCACTCGGACGTCACTCGCCTCGACCACGTCGGTGTCCATCTTTTCGCTCGCGTGGCGGCCCTGCTGATCCATCACCGTGTAGGTCATGGCCTGGGGAACGAACGCCCCAAACCTCCGGACGGTGGTGTGCGGTTTGGTTCGGTGCTTTTGGGAGGTGGTTGATGAGGTGCAGCAGTGCGTGGTGGAAAGCACCGAGCACCATGGCTCCCGCTCTAGCCAACCGGCCGCTCGAGAGTTGTGGATCCGTGCTTGGATCTCCTTCTTTGCAGCTGAGGAGCGTGACACATGTCAAAGAGATCGACGAATCCTGAGTGTCAAGTTCCAGTGCGCTTTTGGTGTTCTCTCCTGGTTCGAGCTGCATGATGGGTGGCTCACTTTTTCATGTTCCTGTAGATTGCGATTCTTGTGGCCGAACGGACATGCCCAAATCCCAACCAAAATTGATCACGTCCTTCCAGCTTGTATAGAGACCCTTCACTTGACTGCACTGTAGAAACCACAACCATGGGCAGCTAGATGCCCCATCTGCCAGGGACCCGGAGTGCCATGTACCAGTAGATGATACCGATGATAGCTTTCACTTTTTGCTGGATGTTTTCTGATGGGACCTCACCAGTTCAATACTTTAGGACCTTCTGAATGGAAGTGTCAGGCTGTGTCCCTGTCTCTTTCTGTACAAGCTTCGGAACCACCTATCTGTCCATATGTCTGTATCTTAGGTTGGAGGGCATCGCTACTAGGGTGGAGGGTATCGCTACTAGGTTGGAGGCCATCGCTACTAGGGTGGAGGCCATCGCTACTAGGGTGGAGGGCATCGCTATTAGGTTGGAGGGCATCGCTATTAGGTTGGAGGGCATCGCTATTAGGTTGGAGGGCATCGCTATTAGGTTGGAGGGCATCGCTTATATATATATATCTCTCTCTCTCTCTCTCTCTCCCTCTCTCACCAACAAGGGTGACTCTCGGCCAAGTCACGCTTTTCCTCAGAGTCCTGTGGCTTCAAGGTCCTTGGCGCCGTTCCCAGGCTTGGACGGAGGAATCGTCTGCTCAGCTCCTCCAAACTTGAATGGTTCGGGTGATGAACAAACACTGGCAAGGGGCGCCAGCAGAATCAGCCCATAGACCGTATATCGTGAACAAACACTGGCAAGGGGCGCCAGCAGAACAAGCCCATAGACCGTATATCGTGTGAATCTAGGTGGCGCCAGCTCCAAAACGGGAGGCTTGGAAGATCCATCGAGCGAGTGCCATGGCCACCGGTCATGCCCATGGCCTCCGGTCACTCCGATGGCCAAGCATCAAGGGCGCGAAGCCCTTCATCGCGGCCGAGAGCGCGTGGAAGGTCATGGTCATGACCTGAAGATGTCCGACTCCCGAAAGCGAAGCAACTACACTGGTTTCAGAGTAAATGGCACAATCCCCAGAAGGTGGTTTACATGGACCCTCTTCCAAAAGACATCTTGGAGTTTGGTGCCATCTATTCTGAAACCACTGTAATGCAAATTTGTATACATTTTCCAACTTCGCAGCCAAGGAAGCAGCCACTTCCATCACCTCTGGTTGAGCTCAGGAGATCTTCGTGCCACTAAACCAGGGAGCGATCGGACGCTACTAAGAGCTCCTGGCCTTACTACTAGGAACAAGAAGCTACAAGGGGCTCCTGGCATCGCTACTAGGAGCAAGGACGCTACTAGTAGCTATTTGCTCCTAGTAGTAGGGCCGGGAGCCCCTAATTAGTAGCGTCCTTGTTCCTAGTAGCGATGCCCTTTGCTCCTAGTAGCAGGGCTGCGACGAACGTAGCTCCAATGTCTATGTCCAATCGAGCCACTGGCATCTCGCCACCCCGCGAACCTGGGCGCGGCGCCGACGAAGGCCATTCAGTGGCGCTTCAAAGGCAACTGCGCATTGTCTTGAGAACCCGGGATTGGTGGACCCTAAAGCCCCCTGGGATTGTAAAGCCTTTTCATAAAGGGGTAGCCTGTTCCCCAGTCATTGGTAGCTTATTCTTCGCCCGTTTGTCAAAACAACCGTGAACAACGCCGACGAGACACACACAGAACATGATCCTTTGATAACATTTGAGGTCCATTCGTCCATGGTCGCTGTCTTTTTCACACGCGCAACAAAAAAGAGGGACCCCATTTAGCAGCTACCCTAAGGGGACCTACCCTAAGACTCCGAGGTCGGCTTAGCAAAGGCTCGAACCTCGAACGGGCCCAGGGATCGGATCTGCACCGGTTCGAACGGTTCGCTTCAAAGGCACCGATGGCAGTGCGCAGCATCAGCACCAGCTTGGCCAGATTGAGCCAATCCGGGTTTTGCACCTGGCGGGGAAGCTCACGTGCCATCGGAAGCCCCTTTCTTCAGCCATTAAGTGGAGGTTTCGGTTTATATACACCATGATGGATCGACCCTTCCAAGTGGGAGAAGTTCACTTCGGTGTCTCACAACAAGCTCAAATCCACTCCCAACTCCGCATCGCATCTGAACCGCTTGGAGTCATGCAATGACCCGCAGGAACGTCCAGCTTCTCAAGACGGTTTTTATGTTTCGCTCTGGGCTCAATCGTGAGCCCCACCTTCTCTGACATTTTTGCGCAGGGTATGGACATTCTTTGTGAAATAACACGGTATGTCTTTTGGCAACTCATGAATTCATCGAACGACAATGTGGGAAGAACAAGAAACAGCATGTGATGACATGCCAAAAAGGTTCCGTGCTGCGCAGGCTTCACAATGACCGCAAAACCCGCCGGGAAAGCAGCAAGCGGAGGAACGCCCCTGCAACAGGCATAGCCGCCTATGGCTAATTCCGGCATTGGAACATTTCATCTCGTCTTCAGCCACGAAGCCTCCACATGAAGCCGTGTTCCTGGCTGTGGCCCTGGGGGGAGGCATTGCCCCCCTGGTGTCCAAACACTGCCGCGTTCCTCGACCTTGCTAGGCCCGCAGGCCAACAGGGTCGTAGCCGTAGCCCGCACGCCATCAAGCCGACCATGCTGCGAAGCAGACATCAGTGAATGCGACATGGTTCCTGGTTCCTTCTGACATGACAAGTGTTTTCCAAGAAATCTTCGGCACTAAGCCTGCACATCAGTGACTTCAGGAACCAGCTGAGCAAGCTGAGGACTGCAGCTTTCGTCGACGAGCCGAACGCTCCTCCCAGCTACCCTGGCACCTCCACGTCGAAGTCCAGGCCGGAGAGCTGTGGCAGCTCCTGAGCCACTTCGGATCCTTCGGATCCCTTCGGTGGAGAGACCTCGGACCTCGTGCGGTGGGTCGAACAGTGGACGCGTCGGTCGGTCGGTCGGCCGGACGAACTGCGGACCGCGCACCGCGCGCCTGCAAAAGGCTCAAGAGCTGCTTGGCGAGGCCTCAGCGGTCGTGGAATGACCAGGTACGGAGCAGGTCGACTGCAGAACCAATGAAGTCCGGTTGGAGAGGAAAAGACCCACAATGTCTTTGGCGCACATCAAGTTGCTTAGGCTTTGCCATCGCTACTCATCCTGGCCTGTGCCCACCCTCATCCTGATCATCCACCAGGGTGCCTTGGCCAATGTAATGCATACATAGGTGTGTTAAAAATATATAAATTACATAAGTAAACAAACAAATAGACATATATATATATATATGTTTCTAAAACACACTACAGACACTATATATATATACAATATACACATAATAATGCATATATATATATATTTGTGAATCAATCCAGTTGAGCACCAAACCTTCGAATGGTTGTTCGATCGACGATGTCATCCAACGCAAAACGCGTTGGCTCAAGGCCGACAGGGACAGGACAAGCACCGAGAAAAGCGGTGCGACGGCAGGGTGGCGGACCACCTTTGGTTTGGATAGGGATAGGGCCCCCTTAGGTTAGATAGATTTGGTTGACGGGCGAGGAAGCTACCTTTGTGGCTGATAGCCACATTGGTAGCGGAGCCCGGAGGCTCAGTGAGGCCACTGGAAAGCCATGGGTTCCGAGGCGGAGAAGGCCAATGCGATCTGGACTCTCCTACCGAGTTTTGATCCAGGCCAAGATGACGTGAAAGAGTATATAGCGAAAGTCAAGTTTTTGGATGGGATTTGCCCAAAGAAGGATCGAGGAATGCTTGCTCCAAGGTTGGCCATGTTGTGCAAAGGTACTGCCTGGCATCAAGTTCGATCCATCGACCCCGACAGGCTGACGAATCCGGACCATGGAGTGAAAACCCTCCTTGAAGCTTTGTCGGCATGGGAGGACAGCGCAGAGTTGAAGACATTTGAGCTGTTCGAAAAGGCAATTTACAAGACCATCCAGAAGGCCGACGAGAGTGCACAGTCTTTTGTCAATCGACTGGACGTGGCGTTCGGAGAAGTTGGACATGAGACGACACTGAAGTCGGTGATGGCCTTCGTATTGTTGAAGCAGAGCAATTTGACCACCGAGGACAAGAAGAAGATTTTGACAATGACAGGTGGCAAGATTGAGAAGAAGGCCATTGAAGGAGCTATGAGGAGCTTGTCAACAAACGTTCTGACAAGCAGTGGCTCCGAGAAAAAGAAAGTATCCCCCACCAACCTGGTTGAGGATGCACCGGACTCCGCAGCAGAGCAGTCAGATCAGTATTTTGATCAGAGTGTTTTTGCATCGCAAGTTGAGGAGGAAGACATTTCCTCCGAGTTCCTGGACCAATTGGCGACTTCCGGAGACGCTGACGCCTTGACAGTGCAGGGATTCGAGCGTGAGTTGACAGATCTTTTTCAGGAAATCCCTGACCTCCATTCAGCAGTAGTGAGCTACCAGGAGGCCAGAGGCAGGATCGTCGAGCGAAAGCGGAACAGAGGATTCTGGCCTTTGAAGGGAGGCTCAACTGGAAAGGGCAAGGGATTTGGAAACAAAGGCTTTAGAAAGGGCCAATCCAAAGGAAAAGATGAACTGTTAGCACGCATAGCAAGGACACACTTTCATGTAAGCAATTAACTACAGTATTTGGTTGAAGCTTGTTGTCTTTCCTCGAAAGCCTTTCGAAAGTAAAATGCAACCCATTGGTCGTCTTCCCTGAAACTTGGAGGGCAATTCTCCTTCAATCAAGTTAATGGACACATACTCCTTTCACTAAAATACATGTCCAATGCAACCGAAGCACTTGACCAATGTGTTGGACAGGTTGCGAGAAATCCAAGGAATTCTGGTGGAATTTCCTTTGAGGGGGCGTGCTTTCGGTTAGCTACCTGGAGAGCTCAGGAGATCTTCTGGTGTTCGCTCGTGGAATCCGCCGCGGCTGCGGAGGCGCGTCGGGACCGAGCGATGGTCGCTTGACGGCGGTGGACGCCAGCTGTTGGAGGCTTGCCCTTGGGTGTGGCAAGCGATGCGGAGAGCTCGGCCACTGGAAGGCTGAATGTCCATTGAAGATGACCAAGGAGTCGCAAGCGAACGTGGCTTCAGCATCCCATGAGGCCGAAGAGAATGACCTCTTTGAGCAGGTGTTGATTGAAGAGATCAACTCAGAGTTTGAGGTCGGGTCCGAAACGGGAAACAATGATCAAACGGCATTTTGCCAGGCAAAGCATTTCGAAATAGGAGAAACCAAGAGCCAGAACCAAAGCCTATTCGAGCCAGAAGCACAAGCTAATTTTTCCGAAGCCGTATTCGAAAGAGCCAAGAGATTCTTTTCGAAACGAAACCAAAACTCGAGTGCACCGATCAGGAAGAGCCAAAAGCAGCCGCTGGATCATCCAACAGCGGTGCCAAAGCATGGACTCACCAGTAAGGCTGGCCAGTCCGAAGGGTTCAAAACGAACGGCATGGCAATCATAGACACCGGAGCCAGCCGGAGCGTCATCGGAGAAGAAAATCTCCAGACGTTCCTAGACCTGCTACCAGAGTCCGTCCGATCTCGAGTGAAAGAACGAGCCAGCCGTGTAGCTTTTCGATTCGGAAACAATCAAGTGGAGCATAGTTATAAACAGATACATGTTCCAATAGAGCAGGATAGAGTAAGAATATGGCTAATTGTTGAGGTCGTGCCAAAAGCCACTCCCTTTCTCCTGTCAATCCAAACCATGAAGAGGCTAGGAATGATTCTTGACTTGCAGAAGGGTTCGTGCTTTTTGAAAGTGTTGAATAAATCAGTGACTTTGCATGAGGGTAAAACCGGGCTTTTGATGATTTGCATTCAGGATTTGTGCAGGAACTCCACCGAATGCCAAAGCATTTTCGGAGCAAGCAGTCGCGACAAGCCAGATTCGCTTTTCGTTGAAAGCTATGCCAACTCGAGGAGAGATGCTCCAAATGGTGAAAGGGATTGCCGAACATGTCGTTCAGAGTCTGCAGACATTGCTGATGATTCTGTTGAACCAAGTGGCAACCCAAGTCTCCACACAGGAGGTGCCGACCGAACAGGTGACGATGATGAGCGAACTCCTCAGCGAGGTCCAATCCCAGAAGGAGAAGATCGAAGAGATCGCATTGATCATGCGGCAGGGCACGTCGCCCAGTCGCAGGGAAGAGCCATTCTCAGTCCTGACGGAGAGCGATCAAGAAGTCTGGGAGCAGGAGGTGCGGGTGTTTCAAGCCCAAACACCACCTCGACATCAGCCAGCTCAGCAAAAGATGACAGTGAATCCATCCACTCCGCCAAGAACAAAGTCTGTGGCAGCCGGAAAGGGAAGCTTCCAAGCCCAAATGTCACCAAATCAAGCCGTTTCAAGTCTGGTTGGGATGGCAGCCCCTGGAAGCCCATTGCCTATGAGCCCATCACAAGACCCGAGAAGCCAGCCATCAACATCAAATCAGGAACAGAGTCTCGCATGGACGACAACTGCAATGGATCGTTGGGGCCAAAAGATGGTTACCTGGGGAAAGAAAAATCCCGGAAAGACCTATGCCACGGTCTACGAAGCCGATCGACAATATGTGAGCTGGTGCCTGAGCAGGATCAATTCGTTGGAAGCTCCGATCAGCGATTTTGCCCGCTACTGCCAAACCCGCCAGCAGATGGAGGAGCAGTTGCACCAGAGCCAATTGATGTGAAGTGGGAAACATTGATCCTTGATGCATCAATAGCCGTAGAAAATATCCAAGAAGCCAAATTGCTAAAAGCATCGGAATTCGGGAAAACCCAGTCATTTGGAAAGCAAGTTGATCTTTTAGAAGTCTATGCACAGCCAAATAGTAGACTAGCAGAAGAAGTAGGAAAACATGGAGGAATAGCAGTCCGATTTACCAGAGACCATGGTGATCTATCTACTTTTGAAGGCCAGGTGCATTTGCTTCGAATGATCTGCAGGCTGCG